GTGGTGGCTGGACTACTCAACTGCTTTACTTCCTGCTTCACCAACGACAGCGGTCAACGCAGAATCCAGCCGTAGTCGTCGTTTGGAGGGGAGAAAGACATTGTGTACAGTGGGTAGAGGTACAGTGATCTGGGATCGTGGGGAATGTGCATACGAGCAGTAACAAATTCGTAGATCCCATACCAGTGATGATTAGACTTGCTAGTGTTCTGTAGCAGTCGATAGGAACGGGGAAATTTGAGTCAGGCAGATTTCCCACGTTTATGTGAGACGCTGTCGTTGTGCGCGTCACCTGGGTACGAACGCTCCACTTCACCGGTGGATCGAGGGTGTGAACCGAGCCGTGTTGTGAGTGGGAGGGGTTCGAGTGCGCGCCAATTGTATGTAAATACCACGTGAGGTACTACGGCCGCCTACGCCACCCTGAGCGAGCCAGCCACCCGAAGCGGGGTGCCTGATGTATGGGAATGGTGTGTAAGTCAGCAGTATGAATGAGTAAGTACCTATGTGTGTATTTCTGGTGATCAGTTAGTCTCTAAAAGCTTGAATTCGAGGTCAGGTGTTCCGTCACATTGTCACGCAGCACCTGTGGAGGTGAAGTGGAGTGTGGACGAGGAGATAATCACCCTTGTTGTCATCTTGTCAGTCCAGAGGGACTTGTGTCTAGTGTACACAGACGTACAGTGTATGTGTGTGTGTGTGGGTTCACACGAGAACAGAGTATACATAGATTAGCCAAGGACTGTGAGGATGTCCATGTAATAATTATATTATTCCATTGTGGTAATTAATCATTTTTGATCGTCCATGGGACGGAGTGATATCATTTCCATGTGTAGTCTTGCAGGTGAGGAATTCCAACACTGAGTATGTGTGTAACGTCAGTGATTCCTGGCAATGATTATTGTGGAGTGTACCACAGTGTGGTCTAAATTTCTTGTATTGTTCCCAGGGCCATGACAAGTGTGATTTATATATATATATATGTATTGTGGTTGCAGTATTAACGTAATTTTGGTAGAATTTGGTGAGTGACGAGGCTGGCTGGAGAGATCGCCATCGCTCTGTCGAGTAACGTAACTCTCGAAAGTGTTTATCGGGAAGCGTGATCAATAAATCACTCACCCATGTGATTTAGGAGTGAGAGATCTCCTTAGTGTTCCCAATAACGTTTGATAGCTGTAGGCTACATGTGTCAGCAGTAATTATATATATATATATATATATATATATATACATATATATAGAATCGTAGTGTCACGGTGCCCAGAGTTATTGTGTTATTTACTGTGTGGTGATTGCAATATATTGACCTATGTTCTAAGGGTTATTGAGAGCACTGGGGTCATTTGCAACAGTAAGTAAGTGTGTGCAGTATTCTGATATTTGGAAATTAGAGTACTTGCCGTGTGTGTTATTGCAGAGGGGTTGTTATTTGATGGTGATTATTGCAAGTGTTGAGTATCACCGTATGTGATTGCAGTTCAGTAAAGTCATTATGGGGCAGTGTTCTAGAGGGTTCATGTCTGGTATGTTATTTTACTAGGTTCTACAGTATTCATTTCGACCGGATTATAACGTAAATCACTGTGATTTGTTAGTGTGATTTGTCATTGTCGTGGGTGAACTCGGCTGTAGACGAGTACTTGAGTACACATACATTCTCCTGGTTATCTGGTAGGACATCGAAGTCCAGTATTCAGTGAGGTGATTGCAAGGCAACTAATATAACGTAACGAAGGGAACGCCCATTGCTTTAAGAGAATTTGTTCTTTGACAATTTGAGTAACGTAGAATACGTTTGGGTTAATTTACTTTCATGCAGGCAGCTACGGTAGTCTCAAGGAGCCTAGCCATCAGCCGGATAAGAATTAGAGTATTGTCTTTCGTAATTAACGGTCAGTGGGCCGGGTAATTGACGTGTTTCAGGAAGTCAAAGTAATTAACCTCGATCCTTGTTTGATCGACTCACACGAAGGCTCCATTGTTCCATTAACGTAACGTCGTTATTTATCTGCCCGGAGGTACCGGCACTTGATTGACTCGTGGGAGTAACGTCATTTTAGAATAACGTAAACGTGGTGCTAATTACTGTTATTAGCCACCTGAATTGGTTTGAGTATGGAAGGCTCAGACGAAAGTCATACCTTAATGTAAATTGCTGAGCCAGTGTGAAAGGTTGCGTATTTTAATTGTTTAATTATTGATCTTGAGGATAGTAATTAATTACTCTAAAGGTAATCACAAGTGATTACCGTTCTCTTATCACTTTGGACATTGTAAATCAGAGTTTACCATCGCTGAGTGATTAGTAACCGATTAACGTAAATTAACGTAACTAGTAAAGAGATTAATCAGCTGTCTGGTAGAACTGGGATTAATGGGATTTTCTCACTGAATGCTCGACGGGTAGATTGTTGTGTAATTTCCGCGTTACTAGTGACCGTTGTAAAAGTTATTAATTTAACGTAAATGTTATTGTGTTATTAAGGTATATCAATTGTTATTGATTGTTGATCGTCCGTGGGACGAAGTGTTAACATAAGGATTAATTTGAGGAAGGGTTGCTGGAGTTGCCAGTGAACCCATTAGTTATTGTTGTCATTGAAAGACTACTGATTTGATTGCATTGCAACCGCCATTGCAGGTGTAGACTGCACTGAGGCGTAGAACAGTTAGGAGGTTACTGGAGACGTGTTTAAGAACCTACTGTGTCATTTGTTGTAATTGTGATTATATATCTGTTAGTTCTTGTTTCTTGTTGATTCCTCTGTGTTCACGCTTATGTTCGAGTTAGTTCATTATGCAGTCCGAGGGGCTGGTGTCTAGCTGTCATTGATTGTGTCACAGGAAGGATTTCGAGTAACGTCATTGGCATTTCTTTTTGTTTTGTTGTAGTAGTTAGTACTTTATTGAATAAACTAAGTTGTTATTGTTAACACTGTCTTTTCGTTACACCCCACACATTATTATTGTTATGCAAGTTTTCTTCACACTCGACTAATAAAATTGAGACTGATTCTGAGTTTTGGACCAAATATATGGCACCACACAACAATAAATTATTGTTGTGAGAGCCCTTGACCTACTCGCTAGATTCGCTTCGGTGAATGGCGAAGGTCAGCGACCTAAGAGGGGGGATTTCAATTTTCATTGGGGTCTTGGCGTTTGCTCGCGCCTAGTCAATTGTTCATACATGGTCCCAAAGTGAGGAATGAGCTACTTACTACACTGGTGTGTTAGCTAAGCAAGTCCTTCCTCAGGCGACCTAATTGAATATCACGACAGGAATAAAGGTTAAAGAATAAAGAAAATTCTTAGAAATTTTCCGAGCTCAATTCCTTATACCAATTTCATTTTATTCCAAACGCACAAGTTACAAAAACTCTCACAGTCACCTGGTCAACACTTCCTCAAAATAACTCTCCTCTACTGACTGGCTGCTTTCCGAGTCTGTGTTCATGTCAATATTACCGTGGGGAGTAGCCAGTTCCTGTGTTGTCCGATCCTCCATCTCAGTACCCAACATGAGGCAAAATGTATTGAATGCGATTGGTATTAGTCAGTCTCCTTGTTAGTTGACTGAGCTAAACTCCAATACTGATAGAGTGCTTTTTCCTGAGGAACTAAGATGTAAGATTTTGGAGCAACTGCATGTAGGCCATAATGGCATAAATGCTTTGAAAGCAGAAGCTAGAAGTTGGGTTTGGTGGCCAAAAATGAACCTGAATATTGCTGAAGTAACTAAGAATTTACACATTTGCTTTAAGAAATATCAGAAATCCTAAGCCCTAGTACTTTCCTGGCCATGCACTGGGAATCCCCTGGTATAGACTTCATATATATTATGCTGGACCAATGGATAATAAATATTACCTGGTGGTGGAGGATTCATACACAAATTTTCTGGATGTTCATATGTGTAATTCCACCACATCATCTGTAACTTGTGAACAGCTAAGGAAAACATTTTGTAATTTTAGATTGTCAGATTTGGTGGTGTCAGATACTGCTCTTTATTTTGTTTCTGGGGATATGGAGATTTTTTTTTTAAATAATTGTAATAAACATGTAACACATGCCCAGTATAACTCCTTTTGAAATGGTCTGGCTGGGAGAGTAGTGAGATCCTTGAAAGAAGGGTTAAAGCGGTTTACAGAAGGTACTATTAATACAAAGCTATGTAGATTTTTGTATAATCAAAGAAAAACTGTTCATTCTACCACTGGTAAATCTCCTTTTGAATTACAGTTTAATTGATAGTTTAAAGTGCACATAGTAGTAGTAAAGACAGATCCTGATAAAGAGAAATTGGTGAGTAGCTTGGCCAATCAGTTGGCGCAGGGAGAGGATTGTTGTTTAACGAGGGGGATGCGGTATATGCAAGGAATTTTGGAATTGGTAAGCCTTGGGTAGAAGAGAAAATTAGGGAAGTCTTGGGCCACAGGAATTTAACAGTGCAAGTGCAGAGTTTTGGGGACATTAATTGGAAATGACATGCAGATCAACTCATGCTAAGGTTCACAGGGAATTTTATAGACTTTTCAGGTGAGGGTGGGGTAACTAGTGATACCCATCTTAATAACGAAGGGGCAGCACCTGTAGGAGACAGGGAAGCAGATCAAGAAGCAACAGAGGGTATAGGGATACAGTTAACCCTATGGACTCTACAGTTAGTATTTTAGAAGAAGGTTCCCCAGAAGTAACAGGTCTGAAGCCCCAGTTGACAAAATCAGGAAAAGTTGTACGACCGCCTGATAGACTTATTCTGTAGGGGTAGAGTTTAATTAAAAGGGGAGGAATGTTAGGATTATGTATTTTGTAGGATTAAGTACTAAAGAGGTTAGGCATATATGTTTTGAGATGATACTCTTTTGTTTATAAGCCTTGTAAATAGTAAGTTATGTAACGTATACCTGTGACGTCATTGCTTGTTGGTATTACAATAAAGCATGAAGGGAACACGTTTATTTCTCTTCTGGACTAAACGTAACATTTACCATAAGAGAGGTGAGAGGTGGCAAAACATGTGTCATTATATGAAGATGATGCTAAACAAATTAAAAACAAGTCTATTATAAGCTAATTTAACCATAAAGTTTCAGAAATATACATGCAACCGACTAATTTAATATTTTACATTATTATTTCATGTCGACTAATTGATGCTTGTTACTATTAGCTCAGCGACCAGCCGCTGTTCCTTAACGTTATTGTTTACAAATATAGCAACTTGTAAATGTTGCTATTTGCTATCTACTTACTGGCAAATAGTTGCAACATCAGTCCCTTTACTGGTTTTTCTGTCTCACTAATGGGATCGTCACTTGGCTGTGAGGTCGTGTCACTTGGCTGCGATGTGGTGTTTGTTGAGGACCCATTGACAGGAAGGAGGAGATCAATTGCTGTTTTATCTGGAAAGAAAATTCTGTCTCACATCACATACTGAATAATATTAACAAAATTGTAAAATTTATGTTTCGTAATTTATAATATCATATGTAATATTATATGTTAAAAATAATTGAAGATAAAAATGAATGTTATCAATGATTTACAAATTACCATATGAAAATTACCAATCTCCTTGTTACTCAACAGTTTGGTGAATATCTCTTGGAACAATACCCATACATATCTATATGATTTTGCTCATTGCTAAAGATAAGAATTTAAAAAATAAGTTATATTAAGAAGTAGTATTGGGTGCCCTGGCTGCTAATATGTGTAATCTATATAAATAAATATGGAAATGTTCGTTAGTTCAAAATCGCTAATCTCCGAAAGTTCTTCACCGATTGCTTTGAAATTATCACACAACGTTCCGTTCGCATCCGAGCAGGTTTTTATATACATTCATCACTATATACATCTAGAGTGATCGTTTGATCATTGTTGTGTATCAAGGAACATTTATACTGATATATATGTTATTGCATTCAGTGCTGATTTTCCTTGTACAAGTTTATAGATATATTCTCTCGCTGATAGTGCAACATTGTAGTATAAGACTTGATCTACTTGAAGAGGTAGATAGTATCGGGTGGGGAATCAGAAGATAGGATGCCACTTGATAAGCTGATGATAGAGTTCTGATGGTGTTGGAGTGCAACCTGATTGTAATAGTATAGAGTATAGGATTCATGATTATTATATGTATGTATGTATTGTGTATGTGCTTTGTCCAATAAATGTATTCCAATTTGCTGGTGTTTGCCCTTGTCCTAGTGAGGTTTCCCGGGAAGTAGCAAAGAAGGGGAGAGAGAGAGAATAAACCAAGAACCACTGCTGTGGACAGGGTTGAACAGAAAACTAATAAGTCAAAGGGGATTGAGGAGATTATATCACCTAAGGAGAGAGTGGGGAGTCACAGCGGCTCGAGTTGGTGTGTGCACGTGACAACGAGGCTAAGTGTTGGAGCCGCATCCCCTAAACGTGTGACGTTGAGCCCCTCTCCAAGAGCCAGAAGCGCCTAGTGTGATCTCCTAGTGAGGTATAAACACTCTATCGAGTTGTGGGTTGGATTGTCCGTAAAGGAGGAACAACACGACAACACCACTCACCCACAAATCTATAATAAATTGGGGGGCCTGTGTCCGGGAGAGTGAACTGACACACCCACACCCCGTTCAAGAGTGGATTTGTACACCCCTTCCTGAAATAGATAAACTGTGTGACCACAGGTGTATATTCTCTCTCTTTGGAAGACTCACAGGATAAGATGGATAAGGTGCAAGCGTTTGTGGTGCAATTACCCGCCTCCACCCCATTATGCGGTAATTGCAGCCCTGCTAATCAGGGCCCTAATCAACAAACCTGTTACCGAACCAGTATTTACCCAAGTCTTTCCTAAATCTAAACTTATATAATTTATTCCCATTATTTTGTGTTCGGTCTTGTGTTGATACTTTTAATACCCCTAAGAATTCCCCCTTTATGTCTCATCCATCAACTTGTAAACCTCTATGATGTCACCCCTAACTTTTCGCCTTTCCAGTGAATGCAATTTTAACTTTACTAATCTTTCTTTATATGAAAGATTGCTAATTTGGGGATTTAACTTTGACATCCTACGTTGGACACTTTCAAATTAATTTATATCCATTCTATAGAATGGCGACCAAAACTGAACTGCATAATCTAAATGGGGTCTAACCAGAGCATAAATAGCTAAAAAAAAAACACCAGGTGTCTTGTTACTAACACTTCGATTAATAAATCCTAGCGTCTTATTTGCCTTATTACGAACATTCATGCATTGATCCTTTGGTTTTAAATTCATACTAATCATAACTCCCAGATCCCTTTCGCAATCCGATCTCGTAATCTCATCACCATTTAGCTCGTATCTTGTAACTCTATCATCATTACCAAGCCTCAAACCTTTACATATATCAGCATCATTACCTAGTCTCCAATCTTTACATTTATTAGCGTTAAACTGCATCTGCCAGTCTTTTGACCATTTCAAAACCTTATTTAAATCAACTTTAAGTGATAGTGAGTCTTCTTCCATGTTTATTTCCCTACCGATTTTTGTATCATTGGCAAATTTGCAAATGTTGCTACTCAAACCTTAATCTGAAATATTTATATTTATTATAAACAACAGAGGTCCCAGTCCAGAGGCTTGAGGCATTCCGCTTACAACATTTTTCCACTCTTATAACCACCCAAGCCCACTCACATACATGTCGAACCCAAGTTTGAAACAATCGATGGACCCCACCTCCACCACGTTTGGCGGTAATTGGTTCCACAAATCAACAACCCTGTTACCGAAGCAGTATTTTCCCAGGTCTTTCCTAAATCTAAACTTATGCAATTTATATCCATTATTTCGTGTTCTGTCTGGTGCTGATACTTTTAATATCCCATTTGTTATGTCCACTCATCAACTTGTAAACCTCTATCATGTCACACCTAACTTCGCCTTTCCAGTGAATGCAATTTAAGCTTTGTTAATCTCTCCTTATATGAAAGGTTTCTAATTTGGGGAATTAACTTTGTCATTCTATGCTGGATATGTTCAAGTGAATTTATATCAATTCTATAGTACGGCGCCCAAAACTGAACTGCATAGTCAAAATGGGGCCTAACCAGAGCAACAAATTGATTGATTGATAAGGATTAAGCCACCCAAGAGACGGCACGGGAATGAATAGGTTTAAAGAGCAAGATATAGCTGAAGAAGAAAACCAGGTAACTTGTTATTAACCCTTCGATTAATAAATCCTAGTGTCCTATTTGCCTTATTACGAACATTCATGCATTGATCTTTTGGTTTTAAATTCTTACTAATCATAACTCCAAGATCCCTTTCGAAATATCCGACTTCGCAATCACAACACCATCTATCTCGTATCTTGTAACTCTATCATATCATTACCTAACCTCAAAACTTTACATTTATCAGCATTGAACTGCATCTGTTAACCTTTTGCCCATTTCAAAACTCTATTTACATCAACTTGAAGTGATAGTGAGTCTTCTTCTGTGTTATTTCCCTACCGATTTTTGTATCATCGGCAAATTTGCAAATGTTGTTACTCAAACCTGAATCTAAATCATTTATATATACAGTATTATAAACAACAGAGGTCCCAGGACAGAGCCTTGAGGTACTCAACCTACAACATTTTCCAACTCTGACAACCCCATTTATACTAACTCTGTTTCCTTTGGCATAGCCGCATGCCCTAATCCAACTTAATAAATTTACGGTACAAACTGTATAGCTTAGGTTCATACATTAGGGGATTGGGTTGCACTAGATTGCACTGCATTAGAAATTAGGTACTGGGATATCGATATTTTTGTCAGGTGGTTGTAGGTAATGAATCCCCCAATGGTGAACATTCCAATTATAAACTATGTAAACAAGAGCTGGGACATACTCCCAACCCTATATCTGTAATCGCCCTGTTATAAGTGACTTAAGAGCAAGTGGTATGAGGTACCTTTGAGCTCGTAATCAATTCATACACTCAGAAAAATTGGAAGATATTCTTGCACTGTACCAGAGTGTGCTAGTGGAGGTTAATAGATCAGCCATAATGCACTTAATGTTCTCTCCTGATTTTTAGTCAAACTTGATTTGTTTTTGTACGCTTGGATTTCACCGCCCCAGTGCCACTCCCTCAACAACCCAGTGCAACACTCCCTCAACGTAACAGTGCCAAACTCCCTCACCTCCCCAGTGCCACACTCCCTCACCGCCCCAGTGCCACACTCGTTCACCACCCCAGTGCCACACTCCTTCACCTCCCCAGTGCCAAACTCCTTCACCGCCCCAGTGCCACTCCCTCACCACCCCGGTGCCACACTTCCTCTTTGCCCCAGTGCCACACTCCCTCACCGCCCCAGTGCCACACTCCTTCATCGCCCCAGTGCCACACTCCCTCACCGCCCCAGTGCCACACTCCCTCACCGCCCCAGTGCCACACTCCTTCATCGCCCCAGTGCCACACTCCCTCACCGCCCCAGTGCCACTCCCTTACCGTCTCGGTGCTACACTCCCTCACCACCCCAGTGCTACACTCACTCACTGCCCTACTTGACACTCCCTCACCACCCCAGTGCCACTCCCTCACCACCCAAGTTGCACTCCCTTACCGCCCCAGTGCCACACTCCCTCACTGACCCAGTGCCACGCTCCCTCACCGCCCTAGTGCCACACTCCCTCACTACCCCAGTGCCACACTCCCTCACTGTTCCAGTGCCACACTCCCTCACCACCCTAGTGTGGCACTCCCAAACCGTCCCAGTGCCACACTCCCTCACTGTCCCAGTGCCACACTCCCTCACTACCCCAGTGCCACACTCCTTCACCGCACCAGTGCCACACTCGCTCACCGCCCCAGTGCCACACTCCCTCAACGCCCCAGTGGAACTCCCTCACTGCTCCAGTGCCACTCCCTCACCGCCACAGTGCCACTCCCTCACTGCCCCAGTGCCACACTACCTCACTGCCCAAGTGCAACTCTCCCTCACCAACCCAGTGCCACACTCCCTCATCGCACTAGTGCCACACTCACTCACCACCCCGGTCGGCCGAGCGGACAGCACACTGGACTTGTGATCCTGTGGTCCTGGGTTCGATCCCAGGCGGTGGCGAGAAACAATGGGCATAGTTTCATTCACCCTATGGTCCTGTTACCTAGCAGTAAAATAGGTACCTGGGTGTTAGTCAGCTGTCACGGGCTGCTTCCTGGGGGTGGAGGCCTGGTCGAGGACCGGGCCGCGGGGACACTAAAAAGCCCCGAAATCATCTCAAGATAACCCCGGTGCCACTCCCTCACCGCCCCAGTGCCACACTCCCTCACCGCACCAGTACCACACTCCTTCATCGCCCCAGTGCCACACTCCCTCACCGCCCCAGTGCCACACTCCCTCACCGCCCATTGCCACACTC